AATCATCAATATATTCATTATGATTTAATCATTCACAATTATCATTTTTAATCAGAATATTCATCAAGATTCAATCATCATAATAATCAATCAATAATCATTACCATAATCATCAATCAACATAATATTCAATAATAATTAGCGGCCTAGCTTCGAGTGTTAACACCCTAACTTACCGTCATGCATCACATAACATTTTTATTTGTTAAAAACATCATTTTTATTATGGTAAATCATTTTTCCAATGATCATAATCAATTGGTGGATTTTAGAGCATATATTTTTCGAATATTTTCGGAACAGGATCTCGACTTAAGAAAAATCGATTTTTATTTTTAAAAATAATCAATTAATATCGACTTTTATATTTAAAATAATCCATTAATAGCTAAAAATCGATTTTTATATTTTAAATAATCAATTAATTGCTAAAAATCGATTTTTATATTTTAAATAATCAAGTAATTGCTAAAAATCGATTTTTATATTTTAAATAATCAATTAATTGCTAAAAATAGATTTTTATATTTTAAATAATCAATTAATTGCTAAAAATCGATTTTTATATTTTAAATAATCCATTAATTACTAAAAATCGATTTTTACAATTTAAATAATCAATAAATTAATTTTAATCGATTTTTACAATATAAATAATTGATTAATTCATAGAAAATCGATTTTTACAATTTAAATAATCAATTAATTCATAATAATCGATTTTTATAATTAAAATAATCGATTAATAACGTTAAATCGATTTTTATGATTAAAATAATCGATTATTATTATTTTTAAATATACTCACTATCTGAACAAATTTTTAATCGATTATTAGGAAGGAAATAATCGATTTTCGGGCACTGTTCATCATCTTCTTCCTCTGTTCAATTTTTAACATTATCATTTTTAATTACCAAACTTCAATTAAATTATATAGGAATGTTCCCCAATGTTCACAGATCATTTTAGAGTCATTAATTTGTAGTTTTAACAACAATTTCT